AAAATACAGGAAACCAGACAAAAATAAAAACCTTAAATTCCTAAACATTCATATGTAGAAAACAACTAACTGAAATCTTCAATACGAATACCACCATGGTTAAGGGGTGTAGGTTGTAGCCGCGTTGGTCTAAGGACATAGGCAGACAAGGTTCTATTTGGGTTAGTCTAATAAAAGATATCAAATTCACCCAAGGAACCATGGTTAAGGTACATTCCCAACCACATAGAAGAAAGCTTCCCCTATTTAAAAAACAAAACAAAACAAAACAAAAACCATGAAGTTATTTTACTATCTTGTTATTTAATATTAAGCAAAATGTAACTGATGACAGATTTGCATTCTGGACTCCTTTGAACAAGGTTTAGTGGCATCAAGATAAAGAACAAAACTCTGCAGTCTGTCAAAACACCCAAAAACATTCTGGTGTAAACTTTGAACATCAGAACCATCACTGAGTGGAAGACTGAGTGGTAGGAGTTTAGTAAATTGTGATGACAAATAACTAATACAGGATCAGTGGGGATCACAGATTACAAGTGCTTTTCTAAAAATAAGGTGTAAGGATTTTCTAAAAATAAAGTATAATTTGAAGAGACAAAATGTAGTATCCTTTAAGCAAGCTAATCACAACCATTAGTTGAAGCCCAGAAGAAAGGAGCAACAGAATCAGCATCAGCCACAGAACGATTCAAAATATAAAATTAAAAATAAAAATTAGGAATTCAGGTAGTGGAAGGAAGTGTTTATAGTCGTGTACCCATTCATTACCTATTATCTAGTTCTTTTAAAAAATACATTCCCTACTATATCGAGCCATGAAGAATTGCAAGCATTTCAATACTCCTCTGCTGTTACCTTTGTTTGTCTCATACGGTTCTCTGGTGTGCCAGTATTCTTTATCTTCATGGTAGAAGTATTCCTTGGTGATTGTGCGAGTTTTCCAAGAAAGTCAATACTCACCAGTAACCCATGTTAGGCACAGTACGTATTTACTAAAACTTTAAATAAGCATAGATTAAGAACTAAGAACTTCTCTGCTCTATTCTGCTACCCATTTTCTGTAATATTATGAAATTCCTTGTAATTAGTTTAATGCAATTAAAACATCACACATTGCCATAAAATGTGAATCTGAATGCAGTTCAACTTAAAAAGCAATTGCTTAATATTAAGTTGCCTGAAGAAATTCAACAATTTCCAGAAACAACACACTAAAGACCCAGTTAAGCGTCTCATAAAACGAGCTGCAAGCTAGTTAATCATTGGGAAAACAAACTGGAAAGGCAACCTGAAGTTAGAAGATTACATTAAGAATTTAACAGCAGTCTTCTAGAGGTAGGGGGGATTGATTTAACATTTAAATATTTATTCCAGTCATACAGCACAAACATCTGAATTATAACCAACCCAGCAATGATGCAGCATTCGGAAAGGAGATGCCAATCTTCTTCCCTCCCTTTCTCTAAGAAAACAAGTCATTTTTTTTGCTCTAAACTATTCAATACCTTACCAGATTCTCAGACATTAATATATGCCATTGCTTTCACTTAACATCTACAAAGTGGCTGGTTAATTAACTGAAAACTAAGAATCCTATTCTTTCTCCTCCTGCCCTTTTGATGAATGAACTAGCTAACATCAAACTGACTCCAAATTTCCAATCCTCATTTTTGCTTGCTCTAAACTACTAGGGGACATCTAGAAATACTACATTTCTATGCTTAGTCTCAACTTAAAAGGTGATGTAAAATTACTTTATGAAGTTACTTCAGCTGTTTGCAAAATAGGGAAGGGAAGGGGAAAAAAGAGAGACATCCATACTGAATTCCAGATGTTACTGCATTCTGGTGAAGCCCCTTAAAAAGTCATTAACAAAAACTGGGTCCCTACTCTTCACAACTTCTGAGATTTAAGATAAAACAACCATCCATTACAAAAGTAAACATATTAACATTTTTTCAGAGATTCTAGCCAGGTGTAATAAGATTTCACCTAGAAATCTAGATGTGCAAGTACCACCTAGACACACAACAGGTAGAATATAATTTGGCCCTGACTTAAAAACTAAGCAGCAAAACAGACTGTGCATAGTTAATTGACAAGGCAGTGTTGCTGATAACTGAAAATACTGGCAATCAATTAAACTAAACTGACCTAAATCTGTTCAATCTATATAAAGTAGCTGTTTTAAGGTGTATCCAAAACTCAAAGTACTACCGAGCTGCACAAAATGATGGATATGGTATATGCTAGGTCAGGGGCAGGCAACTGTTTCGGGGGGAGGACCACTTAAGGAGCTTTGGCAAGCTGTTGAGAGTTGCAAGGGTAGCCCTGCCCCTTGACAGGTGCCCCGCCCTCTGGTCACTATCTTGGGACCAGAAGTCCCGCCCCCTAAACCCTGACCTTTGCCACCAGAAGTCCCACCCCATGCCTCCAGAAGTACTCCTTTTGGGAAGGGCGTTTGCCATCTTGGAACCAGAAAAAAACCAAATGATATACTAAAACATGAAATAATAAAATAAATAAATAAATAAATAAAACACTGACCATAACATATTTTAATTTTATTTTCAAAAATATTTGTATCTTGATTTGTGCATGTTTGTGGGGTATAGAGGTGATTGCATAATAGCTTAAAATGAAGTCTTACCCTTGTATATTGTAGGGGAGCATGGAGGAGTAGGTACGTGTGTATGTGGGGTGTGGGGGAAGGTGTGTGTGGGGGTGGGTATGCAGGAATTGGGAGGGGGAGTGTTTGTGGGGATGTGTGTGTATGGGATCTGTGGGGTGTGTAGAGGGGAAAGATAGATGGCGGGGTGCATGGGTAGCAGTAAGCATAACTCCCCCAGAGGCGCACGTGTGTGTTGGGGGGGTGTTTGTGGGGTGTGTGATTGTGTGGAGGAGAGTGTGGCTCTGGGGTTTGTGGAGGGTGTTTGTGGGTATGGTAGGGTGTGCATGGGACCCCCCTGAGCTGTTCAGCCCCCACCCTGCAGCAGCACCTCCCCACCACCAGCAGCAGCCCCATGCTCACTTCGGACTCGCTTCTGGAGCAGATCAGCTGGAACCTGTGTGCAGCCCTGACCCAGCCTGCCCTGTGCCACCCAGCTATGGTGTGTCCTACTGTCCTACTGGGCGCGCAGCGGAGCTGACACGGTTCCACAGCTGGACTGCCTTTCTAGGCAGCCCTGGTGGCAGGCAGCTCCTTCCAGCTGCTGCCGCTGCTGGCCCCAGCCCGGCAGTACCAGAAGGGACCCACACTGCCCAGCCCCAACCTGGCTCCTTTTGCCTGGCACTGCTGCTGCTGAGCCTGGAGAAGCTGCTGCTCAGCACAGGGGGGGGAAAAAATCTGCCCTTCCTCCTCTCACTGCTGGCAGTTCCCTGCTGCAGCCGCCTAGAGCCCGTACAAGGCTGCCCTGTGGGTCCCTGCCATCACTGCTGCCTCTAGGCTGCCCTGTGGGGCAGTGATGGTAGCACAGACACAGTGCAGCCCAGCATGAGCTCCAGGCAGCTGTACCAGGGAACTGCTAGCAGTGGGAGGGGAAAAGGCTGCTTTCCCCCACCCCGTGCTGAGCAGCAACTTTTGTCCAGCGTCATCACTGCTGAGCCCAAGGAGACAAGCCTGGAGCAGGCGAGGGGCACACAGGGTCGTGGCTGTGCAGTGCACATCCCCACTGGTACCACAGGGCTGGGGCCAGCAGCAGTGGCTGGAAGGATCCGCCTGACACCTGAGATGTCTAAAAAGGCAATCCAGCTGTGGAGCCGCATCAGCTCCGCTGCGTGCCCGGCGGTGGTAGAACACACGCACCATAGCTTGACTGTGCCTGGGCCAGGGGACCGAGGGACCCGCAGGCTGTATTTTGCCCATCCCTGTGCTAGGTGGTGTGTCTGATGAGCAGATTAATTTAAAGATAAACCTTGCTGAGTTTCCAAGGGCTGTAAATAGGGTCTCTTAGCTCCCCCTAGCCTCCCAACTTCTCTTGAAACAATGATAGAATGAAGCTGTTAAGGCAACAAACGCTAACAATATAAGCACCCGAAAGATTGAATTAAAAACGTGAGAGTCTCACTCTTACCAAAAACATCAACACCATATTTATCCACAGCAATAACCAGAGTCACGACCAAGAGGTTTATCCCATCACTGTATTTTGAGAAGCTGTATGCTCCATTTTTTAAAAATGCCAGTGAAATTGTTTCCCTTCTCACCTCTCAAATCAAAACATTGCAGAGTTATCAAAACGGACGCATGCTGTGAGGTAATTTACACATAAGATGAATTATATATAGGAGGAAGCTAGGAAGCCATGGAGCACTACTCATAGCACTGTGAACCGAGAAAGAGGGAGATTTTGCCAGGACCACGCAAGTTATTTAGAAGCATGTCTACGTATGCACAAGTATGGGAGATTCTTCAATGTGTAATAGTTTCTTGAGACAAAGAAGAAACTGGGCAAAAAATTCTGGCTAACATCTAGATTGACTATGTGGTGAGTACAAAGATAACTAAAAACAAATATTGAAAATATGGATACTTAAAGCTATTAATAGCAATATAATACAATCTACTGCCTTCTCAATAATATTGGGTAGCATTTGGATTAGGAGGCTACAATGCTAGGCACGTCAATGTATCATCATTCACATAAACCTGTTTCAGGGTATATAACCTAGACAAAAATGCCCACAAGAGTTGATATCTGACAAGCATGACATGGTGAACTAAAAGGCTCTCTACATTCATCATGTTAACTCACTTTATTAGCAAATTATAGAAAACAGTATAGAACACAGACCTATTGATATCAGTTATGTATGTCAGTGTGTAGCCTGCGTACCACTGCAGGAATCTTAAAAGAGGCCAAACACATTTACCTAAAATCCCTTATGATCAACAAATACATTTCTTTTCTGGAACATGATGACAGAATAAAAACCAACGTTGACAGGGAGCACATTACATTTCTATAAAGCTAAGAGAAAGTTGAAATAGTCAGCCATGTGAACAGGTTCTCTTTATTGAAACCCTCAGAATGATTAAAAAGGACCAAATGGTGAATTTCCATGCCAAACAGAAGTTCTCACCTAATTAACTGCATTCTAATTCATATGAAGGAACAAACAAAATTCAAGAACCCATGTTTTCCTATGAATGAACTTAAATGAATCATTCTATCTTAATTTTTTCTTTTAAGTTTATCAGAAAATTAGATAATGATCTTTACATGGCAATACACACATTATTGAAAACAGGTGTCTCCTATTTCCTTAAAATGAAAATGGCAGTAAAATGAGTTGAAATAATCAAATGGCTTATATTATTTTTCCAAAATGTGCAAGACCCATTCCCCCATGAATAGCATTTTGTATTTGAATGCCTCAAAGTATCCATTTAAAAGTTAATGCAGCAACAAATTACAAAAGGCCAGATCCATACTAGGCTTTCTTACTGTTAGAAACATCTGGAGAACTATTTTAACATCTTTCTTGCTAGAAAAATACTAGCAATTTTGAAAGCTAGTTTAGATAGGAAAAAATATATATAAATAAATAAGGCCACTGCTTATTGGATTTACAATGCAGCGCTTATTCAACCCAACTTTTGCTGGGAAAGATCAACCAGACTCAGCACATACAAAAACAGCCAATTTTTAAATTTCAGAACACTTAAAATATGACAGTTTCTCTACTATAATTTATTCCTTATGCATGCATTATGCTGCACCCTTTAGGTACATGATCACTTACTGTATTCTCAATTGGACTCCTGCCTCATTCAATGTACAGAATGAAGAATACTCACCAACTGGTAGCCATTTAATATTTCTTTAAACTCTTAACACATAGCACTGTACCTTATTTACTATACACCTTCCAAACCTTAAACTGAATACTGAATTTGTATGTTCATTGTGGATGTTTCTGCAACTCTCATCACTATAACATAATTACTTTGCAAACTCTAAACACAGCACTCTTAAAATAAGGCAGCATTTATTCCTTTTTCTTTAAATACACAGAGGGATAGGCTCAGGCACAGAAAGATGAAGGCTAAAAGTAACAAGTGGCCACTGGTTTTCTGCTCAGTTGGACACACTCAGGGTCTGATATTTTACAGAATTTATTATGCTTAAACAGTGCTGCTGATTTTAGTTTTATGTGAGAGTTTTCAATATTAATGCATATCAGGCCCCAAATGTCTTCAGCTGGACACCCAGAAAGTGACAAATACATTATTAATGATCACACTTAAGTTTTAGATTCAAAAGGCAAAGCCAGTGTGAAATAGGAAGTCTGTGACAAGTGCCTTAAGCCTCATGATTCTCTGTTCTTGCAATCTCTGGTTTTCTTTCCTCTGTACCTTCCAATTTCTACAACAAATGATGCAGTAGCCTCTTCCACAAGTCTCATTCATTCCCTGAGCAAAGCCCACGTACTGCAATGAATCAGGCAAAGAAGCCAATAGGAAAAAACAAAACAAAACATGTGGATCAAGTAACTAAGAACTATCAATGGACCAAATTTTGTAATTTGTGAATACCTGGCTTCATTGTCAGAATGCTAGTGTTGTGAAGGTTTCCACATAACTTCAGATTTTTAAAAAACAAATGGAAAACAAGGAAATGTTACCATGTGGAAGTACGTGGTAACTGCACCCTTTGGAGTCACTACTCCAATCTTTACCACATGCACTAATGCGGTGGCATTACAACGATACACTAATAGCAACGATCAGTTATTTATCCTCTACCAACCAGCCGGAGGGGTGGGGAGGTTGCGGGGGTGGGGAGGGATGAGATCTGTCAGTGAGTTTTTAAAGCTACTTTTACTGTATGAAGAATCTGTGGGCTCACAAATCCCAGGTTCTATCCCAGCTTCTGGAAGACTTGCCATGATTCCAGAGCTTCCTTCTGGCCCAATCGCTTGGCATTATTTCATTCCACATGCTCAGCTTTTTTTCTTTAACCATCTCCCTGTTCCTGTTCTCCACCTGCTGCCTTCAGCATCTCCCCCATCTACACTCATCTCCCCCAAATGCTGCCTTCTCTACATTGCTGGGTGCCTCTTACCTTTCAAACTTTTAGAAAGCTGGGATAAGCTAAACTATGCGTAACTATCTGATTGTTTCAATACGCTCATTCTTACCAAAGAATTGTCAGAAGTCTTAAATGCTATCTATATCGATATATATCTATATCTATATCGATATATATCTATATCGATATATAATGTGGGGGCAGGAGGAAGAAAGTAGCACAATACTGTAAAATAGCTTATACAAAAAAAAGCAATGCCTGTCCTTAAATTTCACAATGTAGGTGATTAGAAACTGTTGTAAATCAAAGATTTCAAACACAATGTAAACATTTGTGTTGGTTAGTAAGAGACACCACACACATTCAAATAATATGCAGTATTGCTATTTTAAGCTTTAACATATCTGCCTTCTACATTGCTGTTCTAAAAAGAGAAAGCTATCCTTGGAGTCCGTACAGGCTGTTCAGTATTTTATTCAGTTAATACAGCTGCTTGGCATTTTTGAACATTCTCTTCCAGAAGACAGAATTCATCTTGCTATAGAATCAAAAAAGATATTTTCAAAAGAATTAAAAATTACTATAAGAGTATCCAGATTAATAGGTATCCTAAACACACAATAATATAGCTTTAGCCAAGAACATGTAAACAGTGGTGAACACAAAATGAATCCATGGATCAAAGTATTTTTCCAGAACTAATGTCGAATACAGAGAATGCCCAAATAATATAACAGGAGGGGGGAAAAAAGTTGAGAAACAGAGTATATGCTTGCTAAACAAGAATTAGGTTTATTTAGCTAGTGAATCACCTAGAGGAGTAAATTTTCACTTCCATGATAGCAATCTGTCAGGCTTGCAAACACCCAGAAATAGGAATTAAAGATTATTTTAAATGTAGTTATAAAGGTCATAAAAAGTCTGATTTAGACTGAGGTACATTTACTCAAAACTGAGATTCATTGAGTGGTAGCAAACAAACAGTTCCTCAGACAAATGCACTTTTTTCGGTATACATGTTACAGAAAAAATAAAGAAATGTGCATTAGCTGGTGTTTTCCACCAAGCTGCATATTAATATTCTCTTACACCAAACAGTTTGAAACAAGGGAAATGTCATTCTAATATAATTTCATGTTACGTTTCATTTGGCTAAACTGCAGCTTAAAGTTGCTTTGCCATATTAAAAGTTTACTACAATAATTTTCACATGAACATTTAGACTTGAGTTTTACTCCAGGACTAAATATGGCATGATTTTGCTTTTAATCAGTTGAATAGCTAAAAACTGACAATAAAAAAAAAAAAAGAAAAACCTACAACAAAGAAAAAATAAGTTGAAGCAATGTGAATCTCACATCATTGAACCACTTCTAATGGTTAATTGTTAGTATTTAACAAATTCAAAGAGTTAATGAATCCTTGCATTCATTCCGTATCCTGTGCCTTAGCTAGGATGCATAAATACAAAAGACAGCAGATACTGGTAAAAGCTTCAGGACAGAAAGTGCTTGACGAAGTTACAGTTCTCAAGTGTGTTTGGTGAGAGAGTATAAGGGCAGATGCACTGATGAGAACCATTACAAGAAGAGTCAATTTTGTGTTAAAGTGTTCAAAGATGTCACCTTAAGCAGAAAAAAAGCTTTAATAACGTCTTCTTAGACATATTAGGCATTTCCAGAGTCTACATCATTAGTGTTGTAATTCTAGCAGGACATCTCCGTACAGTTATTGTTTGTTTCTATTTCTCTCCTGAAAGAAAACAAAAACACAAGAGGAAATACAATTAATACAAACAATTTCACATTAAATTAGATTCCCATTGCCTTAGAGCTGTTCTTTTGCCATCAATTACTCATGACTTTCTTTAAAGCCTCCAGCAAGCTTTACAAGAAACAACTCAACGTTCCACATACATTTAGGCCAGTCGAAAGCTGAGTTCACGCTAACATTTTAAAATAAAATGCCTCCTGGCAAGTACAGAACCAATTAAAAGCTATATATATATATATATATATTCAACTGATAAATCAGCTGTTGAAAGAAAAAAAAACCTCCCACTGTACATTTACGCCTTGCTGTGTAAAAACATTTACTTCTGCTAGGAAGACAGCTATTGCACTGCTTGAACAGAATATAGCAAGAGATAACCTCTTGCTTACCTACCATCACAACAAAAAAAGGTTATCCTAAATGTATTGCTTAGCTAGGCAGCAAAAATAGACTATATAAAATTAGCAGAGCATTAGATTTCCTTGAGTCTATTTACTAGGGTTCTATAAACTGAAGTTTCCATAAAATGACAGTCCTACTACTTAATCTGAAGCCTGCTGAAGTCTACAGGAGTCTATTAAGTATTATGCCTGGGATCAAGCCTTGGTGGAACAAATTTTGTCACTATTGACCTTATGAAAACAGGTCTAGCAATTAAGGTCTATGTGCACTACCAAATATGGCTGAGTAATAAACAGCAGCAGAAAATCATGGGACCAAGACACTCTACCATTTGTAAAAAATAGTTTTGCTACTAAAAAGGCAAAAAGGTGATAGTAAGGGGAACGACAGATATGACAGTAGAAAACAGCAAGACTTTGAGAACACAGTAACCTGCAAAAGAAACCTATTTCTTTGAGTCTACCCAAAGAACCAGACTGAATTCCCATAAAAGTGATAAGCCATATGGAACTGATAATGCTATTACATTAGATGCTAACAAAAATCCCAGAGGACCAAAATGACCCATTCAATTCAATTAAATGCAAAAAAAGTGCAAAATCTTGACGCCAATTGAAAACACTACACGATCTGAAAAAACGTATCCATAAACATTTTTCACAATTCCTAGTGGCTTTCACAATTGTACTGTATCTAACAGACAGTGAACAAAATCTCCCTTCCTCCCACTGATTGGCATAGGAAGAATTATTTCTTAAAGAACTATTTTTAACACTGCTCAGTCCATGCTTCAATATTACTTAAGCCACATGCATATTCCAATTTCCCTTCAGATGAAAGCTATTAAAACTGCCAATAAGCACTTTTCTCCAGTTTCAATCTATACTTCTTGATGAGGTACCTTGAGTGCCTTTCTCTGCAGAGATTAGGATAAGCAATTTTTTCTATGACATTTCATCTCTATTTGCACATGCACTCATGATTCAACAGGTGCATTTAACATAGTGGTTCTCAACCTTCTGCACCTTACATCCCACCTACGCAAGGTCAAAAAATCCTGGTTGACCGGGGGAGGGGGAGCCAGCACGGGGGGGCCGGCACAGGTGTCCCCCGCAGCCAATCAAAGCATGCAGAAATACCAAGTCCGAGTCCCACCTAGAGGACCTTTGTATTCCACTGGTTGAGAAACCCTACATTAACACAAAGGCATTTTATATTTTTCTCAAAATCCACATAAAGAAAGGGTGGCCTCCTCCCTCCCCCCCACACAAGCGAGTAAAGACAAATCGACCCATTTTTGTTAGGTTTTTTTGTGCCAATTCTGCAACAAACTACATAAAAATGGAACCCAGCGAATCAATACGTGCTAGAATGAGGTACTTCTTGCACCTAAAGACCGAGTCGCAGCTTTGTCATGTAACATGGTGAAACTATAGAGTGCACCTAAAATTATTTACAACAACAGGAACAAAGTAGGAAATCCTAAATAAATTCATCCATGCTACATGAAAAAAAGAGAATATACAATAGCCACAGATGACAAGTTTCCCTTATTATTAAAAGTTAGAGACTAGCTGAAGGCACAAACTGTTTCAAAAGTTGTTTCTGATGTTAAAGCCTTGCAACTACTCAAAATGATGTACACCGAGATCCTCCATCCTTCAAAAAAAAATTTTTTTTCATTACATGTAGTTTTTGGGCCAGGCTCTGGCATGCAATTTGTTTCTTTCACACTGCTTTGGTTATGCAAATAATTTGCATTGGAGTAATATCCAGAATCTGAAGTCAGAACGAGAAACTCGCTGTCCTGAACGTTTTGCAGATAAAACAAGATAGTTAATGCCCCAAAAGGTTTATAGTTCAAGAGGTACAAAATTGTAG